TTTTTTAATTAAAAAAATAAAATCTGGAGTACGGTGGAAGGTGATATTTTGGGGAAAAATAAAGGAGAGAAAAAAGTGATATTTAAGACAAGGTGGTCAGAGGCCTTCCTGAATAAATACCATTTTCTTAAAGGGTCTGATGGAGGTGGGGGAGAGGGAGCCCACGCAGGTGTCTGAGAGAAGAGTGTTCAGGCAGAGCAAAGAGCAAATGCAAAGGCCCTGAGGCAGGAGACTGCCTAGGGTCCCTAAATACATGACCTACACTGGGGGGCAGCAGAGGAGGCGGCGGGATGGAAGAGCCCCCAGCCCCCACAGGAGGTCCAGGCGGCAGCTGTCCACATGGAGGCATCGGGGTATGGGTGGCGGCAGTATAATGAAAATAGGTATTTGGTCTTTGTCCCCGGTTCCTGGCATAGAACTCCTACAGCCCTTGGAATTGTCTGAGTGATGGGAATATTTTTCATTGTTTGTGAAGAGCCCTTTTCATAAGGAGCCCCTTTGGATCACGCCTGAGTCTATGCTAATGAGGTGACTCAGGCAGGGTCCCCTAGAGAGCTTCAGGATGGGGACTGGTCACCAGAAAGACCAAACACATGATTAGAGGGGGGACTCTCAGCCCCACCCCTGACTCCCAGGCAGCAGACTGAGGCTGGAGACTGGGTTACAAAAACTCTTAAGTAACAAGATCCAGGGAGTTTGCAGGTTGGTAAACACCTTGAGGTTCTAGGAGGGTGGCGGGTCCAGAGAGAGCATGATAGCTCCCACCCCAGCAGCCCCTGCACCTCACCCTACGCTTCCCTTCCATCTGACTATTTGCTGTGTTGCATCTTTTATGATAAAAGTGTAGTCGTCAGTTGGGGCGCTTGGGCGGCTCAGTCGGTTAAGCGTCCGACTCTTGATTTCGGCTCAGGTCATGATCTCACGGTAGTGAGAGGGAGCCCCCCATTGGGTTCTGCACTGAGCATGAAGTAAGATTCTCTCTCTCCCTCACCCTCTGCCCCTCCCCCACTCAAGCACACACTCTCTTTCTCAAAAAAAAAAAAAGAAAAAAAAAAACCCAAAACCAAAAAACTGTAGTCAGTAAGTAAAGCACTTGCCTGAGTTCTATGAATTGTTCTAGCAAATTATCGAACCCGAAGAGGCTGTCGTAGAAACCCGCCATTTATGGCCAGAATTACAATGGCCTTCGGCCTGCAGCCGGCGTCTGCAGTGGGGGCGAGCAGTCTTGTGGGACCTGAGCCCTTAGCCTGTGGGATCCGACACTCTCTCCAGGTAGATAAGTGTCAGAACTCAAAACGAGTTGGTGTCAGGATGAGGGCAGTTTAACACCATCAGGCTGGCTGAAACCCTGGGGCGAGCGAAGCGCGGAACCTCCCAGGCCTGCGGGAGCTGAAGAGGCTGAGCAGGAACCCCCAGGGAGGGGCCAGGAAGCCAGCATTCGGGTCTGGAGGCCGAGGGAGGGGAG